TATTATGTTAACCATCTATGAGTCCATAATATAAAGTCTTAAACTCGTTTACATTATACATCTAAGAGAACCATAAGAAAGGTCAGAAAACGGATAACCTTTGAAACTTTTATTATCACCAGGGTTTTTTTTTTTATTTCCCACATAGCTTTCTTTCCCAAAGCTATGTGAGCCCTTGATGGACATTTCCATCATGGCTTTAAATTGCTCCTCACACTCCACTCCTCTTGGAAGGAAAAGGGTGATGCTGCAGGTAGAGGAGTATGGCAGGCGTTGCTCTCCTGGTTCCCGGTCAAAAAATTCAACTGATGGGTTTGGTGAAAACCCAAGCGGGGGAATGGTATTCGCCCCTGACACAAACACAAGTATTTGCTCAAAGGAGATGTCTACTTCTCCATCTGTAGAAGGATAGGGAGAGGTCACTCACCATTGATTCAAATGCAAATTAAGGACAGGTGTGTAAAATTACCTTGAATAGCAACCAGCCACCAATCCCACCAGAAAATGGTCTGCTCTTCAGCCTCCCTGTGGTTGCTTCCAGGTGGACTCCATTTTATGGTGAAGAGAGACTGCATGCAGCTTCTCCCAAGTTTCTCACCTACGTTTGTAAACACAGGGAGAAACTGCATGCAGTGTCTTTCTACCACCTGCCAGAAACCACCACATGAGTTGAACACACTTATATTTATATATATATATATATATATATATATATATATATATATATATATATATATATATATATATATACTGATTTCTGCAAATGTACCATTGATTTATTTACAGGTTTGAGTGAATGTACAAGGACTAAGCAGAACAGTGATCTTTCTGGTTATATGGAGAAATTTTACACATCACGGTCCACATTTCATGTTTTTATTGGCATTTTACAGTTTATATTGCATTTATCTGTATTTGAAGGTTTAAGAACATTGTACAGCACTGCAAAAAGGTAACTAAAAGTAGGTAAAATTTTCTGGAAATTTATATTTTTGTCTAGTATTTGTTGTTTACAATGTTATTAGATGCATCTATTGTATATTGTCTGTTGTTTGTAACTTAAGCCATGCCCTAAAAAATGTCATTAAAGTAAGACGCCGCGACAGCTTCTTGATTTTAGTTTTTTACTTCTGAGGCAAGGCAAATGTATGCGCATTAGATTATTCTTGTTTTTGCCACTCATTTTTAATAAAGATCCTGCATTTTCTTTCATTATATAAGTCATTGTAGATGCCTAATGAGAATTTGTCTCCATATTACAAAAATACAGTAGATGGTTAACATAATACAGCGAAACATACGTTATAAAAAATTTGTCCAATCAAGATTTATCTATGTTCACTCAGCAACTTGCTTTGCGCGGTTGAGGTCCGACCGGTTTTAGAGCTACACTAAATATAGCCACATAACTTTGTTGCATGAAAATAGTTAAATTAAAGTTGACTACTGTCTGACTACTGTCTGTCTCCACAGCCTTGATCTCCACTTCAGCCCAATCGGCTTGCCATATTTTGCTGCACCTATACACGTGTCAACTATTGACTTTGCCTGTAAACTCGCTGCTTCTGCTGCACCTGCTGCGTCCGGTTCACACCGATGTCGAGCGGTTGAATAACAGCGAGCACAGCGTTCATTTGTTTCACCATCTTTTTCACATCAGCTGTGAGATGGGCATGCATGGAGTCACAGATTAACATGAGTGAGTGGAAAAAAACCACCTGGTCTCCTTACATTCACCTCCCTCAACCACTCTTTCATCATCTCCTCAATGAGGAGATGAGGAGTTCTGCATGGTGCATGGTGGTCTCAAAAGTCCACAGTAACAACACACATAGAGCGCACCGCACCAAAGGGCGCACCGCACATTTTGAGGGAAAAAAAGACGTTTATATGCGCCTTATAGTCATGAAAATACTTTACCTTAAACGACTCCCCATACCTAAGGGTGGACCTGTTCTTCCGTTTCAATTTGAAAGTTTTTTAAGCCATAACTAGGCTTAGTTTAGGCTACTGTACAAAGCTTGGAACTCAACGCTATTTCTGACATTTTCAACTGAAAAAGCTTCCTGGATTGGAAGCGAAATGTCTTTAAACTTTCAAAAACAAAGTCCAGTGGTTTCTTTATTAGCTTTTTTGGAATTCCTTTATAATAATTGTGTATCTGCACTAGCAAATAGCCTTATTGTCTGCAATTCTTTTGACATTTTTACCTTAACCTTTTTCATGAAAAGGTAATACGTATATTTTAAGAACAATAAGTTTATGTTTAACAAGATAACCTAGCATGCATTATGTTGAACTGTATAAATTTATATAATGTATAATACTCTATTAGCTGTCTGATTGCATCTCATCTCATTTCCTGTGTTTTACTTTAAAGCATTTAATTAAATGTGCATGCATGATGGAGAAATAAATGTGCCTTGCCCTATTTATTTATTCCTGCAGATGGCAGTGGAGCAGTTCTGTTGTTACTTTTTGTGTACAGTACAAAGATCATATGACAGGAAGTAAAAAACTGTGTCAACTGCAAGCTCTTTGACCTGCTTTTACACTTTTATTTTGTAGCCTCAACAGGAAGCAACATATATCCCATAAGCAGTAACTTTAATCTGATGTTGCTATGTGTGTGTTTGTATCAAAGTCCAGACATCTGGGGGATAACAGACTGAAACCAGCGTGTGTGTGTTTGGATCAACATGGAGGGACAGAAGAAGATTTTGTGTGTTGGTCTGGTTTGTTTGGACATCATCAGTGTGGTGGATAAATACCCAGAGGAGGACACTGACAGCAGGTTAGCACGAAGGCTAATACTTACAGACCTGCAGCTGATCATCCTGCAGCAGCTGATCAACAGAGTTTCTAACTCTCTGATGACAGGTGGCTGTTCTGGTGGCTCTGCAGGTCTCTGTTTGAATCGCTTCTGGTGTTTGTACAATAAAATGGCTTTATGTTGTAAAAACCAGTTATTATACAGCTGCAGGAAACCTACAGCCTTAAAGAGGTTTAACTTTTATTGTAAAGGTGCATCAGATTTATCAGCTTTCCATTGCAAGGCCAAAGGTTTCTCTGTAAAACAGTAACAAGTCATTAACCTGAGGCTCTTAACAACTCTGATCTTTGATACACGTTTTTACTAGTTGTCAGTGTGTAATTAAATAAAATGTAATTAAAGCAGAATTATAATCTGGCAAACAGAGGGTCTGCTGGTCTAACTGGTAAACTGTGGAGAATCTAGAGCATGGTGGGTCCCAGGGTCATTGGCTCCCCATTTAGACATTTATTCTGATCAACCTGACAGTGCTAAGTGGTTAAATTTGCTCACTCTGAATTTTGCTTGCTCACCCTAAACTGTTTTTAATAATGGAAAATATCAGTTTGTTTTTTTTTCTTTTTTACATACTAAATACAATTAAACTATTAATATAAAAAAGGGAACAAATGTTGTCTAAAAAAGTTTATGTAGATAATTAACGACTAAAATTTCATTTTATTTCACTTCTTATGACTTTATTTACAACTCTACAGTTATTTAAGGGTCATAAACAAACAATATTCACATCATTTAATCAGCAAACAGCCATACTATAGGTTGGAGGCCTCACAGCTTCTCCAATTGTTGTGTTTATTTGATGAGAGCCTTTATTGTATACATAGATTATATTTACTGCATAGATATTTGTTATAACAGCATTAATCACCGTATATCCCCACACATTAACAAAGAATTCACAAGACTTGACTAATTTTTGAAACTCAGGAACACAGTTTAAGCTTTCTAATTTTGTTAAACTTCTGGAAAGCAGAAAAAATCCAACCTTATGAATGTTAACCCTCTCCACAGTTCTTTTAAAAAAACATCCTTCTAACTTTTGTCATATTCACCCTAGAAGGCAGCTGGGTGTTAACAAAATCTTCTAATTGGAATAACTTTGTATAGCTTGCTGCATTACCTCCCCTTAAAAAAAGTCGGTTAGCAGAGGCCCCAAACAACTGACTGTACTGCATATGTCTTAGCCTTTTTCTTTGTCGCAGATCATTTTGAGCACAGCATTACAGTACAATAACTGAGCGAATTTAACAGAAACACATCTTTCAACTCTCGCATTATTTCTGCTGATTTAATTTTTCTGTTTTCTAGCGAACCATTTAAAATACGTTATAAATTATATGAAAAAATCCAACTGATCTTCCAGGTTACAACAATCCATCACTTAATTGGTGGGACAGTAAGACTGCAGTTAGGGGTAAGGTCATCACTGACTGTGTCTCATCAGAATGCAGGTGTGAACTCGATAATAATTTACACATTTTGTAATGGTGCCAATCTACAAGCAGACAGTTTAATAAAGCATTAGCAAATAATTCCACCTGCTTTTTTTTTTTTTTTTTTACCCCCTGACACTTGCCGAGCTCTGAAAATGAGAAATAGAAATTCAAATATTTAGGAGTTCTATTTGGATCAGTAATGTTCAATAATATGTCAATGTCATTTCAAACATAAGTTTGGCAAAATGTCCTGATACAGCCCATCAAAGTCTGCTTCAGGTGCATAGAAAATAAGTCAGTAGGAAGAATACGTTGCATCATAAAATAATTAACAATCTTGACTTTCAAAGTAGAACAATGACAGATTGTTAAGGTAATAATTATATAGGCTTGTTATCCATTTTGCACATATTGAAAGTAGGATGATGAGTTAATTAATTAGAGGAATAGAGCTTTATTTATTTTTTTTTCAAGGACTAGATTCTTGTTATTAACAAAAGGCAAAATAAAAACCATTTAGTTCAGCCTAATCTCATATCAACCAGTGACATGGGGAGATCCTCTCATCTGACAGGAGCTGCAGAGAAAATTTTGATCTATTAATTTCTGTTGTTATGTGCAGCAATGCATTGCTATCAAGAGGGTATTGGGTTCTTTAAAAGGCCTAAAAACAAGTGTAGAGGACAGATTTGAAAAATAAGGCAAATCAGCTGCAATTTCATGGGTTTTTATTTCATGGGTCCGACGGAAAGAGAGACATGGATGCAAAGTAAACCCCTTCGATTTGGGGTAAACTTAAAATAAAATCTCTTAATAGGAAAGGAAAACATTCAGGTTTGTCTGTGACACATTCTGCAGACTCAGACATAAACAATAAAACATTTCAATTAAGAGAAAGCCTTACATTTATAAGGAGCTCAGAAGACAGACTTTTGATATTGTGTAATAGTGATCCTATTTGAGCCTAAAAAAAAAAGAACAATAATTGACAGAACAGGAAAGCATAGCTTATCATCCTCCCCTCTTTATGAATTAAGAAATTTCAACAAACTTCACAGATCGCCCTCTGAGAATCACCTCTCACTGCCATACCCAGTAGTGTCTTAGTGTTTGTGTCTGCTGACTTGTTTCTAATTTATCCATGACACCTTACATATTGATCACACTGGGGAATTATGTCACATAGTAAAATAAACAGTTCAAATGAAAATGAAAAACACTATACATTATACATAGAAGAATATAGGAGTCATATTTAGCTGAGGCTAGTCAGCCTCCAGATTCTCTGCTTAACAGCTTTTTATTGTTATAATGTGACTGGTGTTTTAATTGATGTAACATTCTGATCAGTTGTTAGATTGTGATCAATATAATTAACAGCTGATAGGGTTGATGACATCACTGTACCTGCAGGTGTCTGTCGCAGCGATGGCAACGGGGAGGAAATGCCTCTAACTCGTGCACAGTGCTGTCACTGCTGGGAGCTCCGTGCGCCTTCATGGGCTCATTGGCAGCAGGTCCGGTAGCTGAGTGAGTATCAGTCAATGTTCAACATGGAAGGGACCAATCTGGTTAAATCTTGAATAATACTGAAATAGTTTAATATTAGGAAAGTAGCTTATATTTATACACCAATGATGAATGTTAATTCATGAATGCAGCCTCCTGATTGGTCTGTAACGTTAACTGCTGTCGTATGACTGTGTTTATCAGCAGTTATAATGAGAACATTTCAGTTATTAATGGAAACAACTCTAATAATGAGAACATCAGGTCTACAAAATAATTCAGCATGCTGCACAACAAAAGCTTAATTCGACAAGCGTACAAGGACATGACATTTCCCCTGTTTGACCCACATAGTTCATGGTTGGCTGTGGGGACTTAGAGGTTAGGAGACCAGAGCTCTTAGGAGGTTCTGATGGTTTGTTGTTTGTTGGTTGGAGTAAAACAATTCTGTTTCCACTAAGAATAGGACTGATAATCTGTGATACCGGGCATTTGCCTGGTCAGTTGGTCCTAATTTCAGCGTTCAAGGGCTGGCCCTCTTTATATCATACCGGCCCCAACACTTACTCTCTGGCCGAAGCACCTACCTGTGACACTAAATGACTCAAGGAGCTCAATAACTAATACAATGTTAACTATTTAGATGATGCATGCAGTGTATATAGCCGTTCCTTGTAATGCACATCCTTGTGACGGTTGGCATATGGTGCAAATTTCTATTTCTTCAAACCTTGCAACAAACTAAATTATAGTAAAACTAAAATGCTTTCTTTAAACCAAACTATGATGTTCCTCTTATATTTTGAGAGTTTATGTTCAAATATTTTGCAAAAATATGTTTTGCATCTATTACGTTATTCCATTTCATTGTCCACCTGCCACCTAGACTGGCAGTGAATGCTTACTAACTGCTGAGCTTTCATGGATTCATTCCTGAAGAACTGCCTGTCTGCCTCTATATTGTATTGTTTTATGTTGGTGTTTTTACAACACTAGGGTTACGTTGTAGACCTGCAGGGTTTAGGCTAAAGTTTGGAAGAGTTTTTTATCTGGTCTCCAAGGGTCTACGCTAGTGATGGATTATTGAGGCATCTTGAAGCGTTTCGACACATTGCTAAATTGTATTGATACTGCATTTGATACCGTCTCACAAAATACTGACACCTGTTGGACCTTTAAAGACACTACAGGGAGCTTATTTGACAGACTAACGTGGACCTATTACAATTATATAATTTAAGATATAGTAGGTTATGTTGTATTATTTTATGTCTCTGTTTAAATTGAAAATATCTTTGATACTTTTAAATACAGCCAATAAATATTGTAAACATATGTGTTGAAAATTTAGGGGAAATGTGAATGAGGATGCTTGTGGACAAGGTTTTTAAATCATAATTTGAAAATAATAAGTACAGTAAAAACAACAAATAAACTAAGAGTCAATTTGAAATTAACTTTAATTCAGATAAGCTGAGTGATGACAGAGAGGAAAAGTATGACTAAAAAAGAAAATTGAGATTAAAATACGACGGCTAAACAGCCTTTCCTATTCCTTTCAGGCTGCTCCAAAATTCTTGATCATTTTAATGATAAACCACGAAAGATAAGTCATTTTTTGCAGATGCATCATGTTGACAGATGCATTTTTAAACACAGTTTAGTGTGCCAGTCGGTTAGAAACAACTCCTGTATCGGTGAAATGACTTTCTTGAAACAACATGCGCACCGATACAATGTTTTGCTCTATTGGCTCGACTCATGCACCGATGCATCAGTGTTGCTGGAGCCTGATTTATTCCCTAACTGTAGCAGAGGGAGTTTTATGTCCCAGAGTGAAGCAGGGCCTTAATAATAACAGTCTCTAGTTAAGGTATTCAGTTAGAAACTTTTTCTGACACACTCTCAGTTTACTCTTTTAAACTGACGGAGAAAATGTATATCAATATGATGAGCCACAGTGACTTGGACTTTTTTCATGGAACTTGTCCCCTCTGTCCTCTGAGCTGTGTCTGTCTCAGACATCCTCTGGTAGGAAAGACCTGCTCTGGTTGCAGCCCAGGTGAGGACAGGGGAGACGAAAGTCACATATTGTCTGGATTTCTATTTTGAGCTGCAGAACAGATGTAAACAGTTTCCTGTCTGTAGTTTTATCTTGCAAGATTTTCAGAAGTTCTGCATCGACGTGTCTTTGGTATCTGAGCATGCTCAGTGTATAACTCCAGCCTCCGTGGTCATCAGCAACATCAACACTGGAAGCAGAACCATCCTACATATGAACAGGTGTGTGTGTGTGTGTTTTGGGAAGAGGTGGGGGGGGATCACTAACTGTCCTTGTTTTTTACAGCCTCATCATCATGGCCGACCAGTGTCACCGCATGCCGTTTGGTCCATCTAAATGTTTTCTTTGTCAGAGCTTTTATTTTGGAGTAGAACTTCACATTTCCTGTCTATTTGTCTGTCAGTTTCATCATGGCCGACTTCTTACGACGTGCGATTGATGTGTCAGCAGTTGCTTGGCAGGTCAAAGGTCAAACTCCTTGTGCATGTTGTGTGGTTTGTCCACCCAGCGGGTCTCGAACGGTCTTCCTCTACGATACGTAAGAGAGCCGCTCCCACCATGCTGCGTTCACTGAGCACCTCATCATTAGGCGTTATGAAGGATCCATCAGGAGGTGATCAGACCACGAAAATCTGGGCTTTACCCAGAACTGAGCTTCCAGTTTCTCCTCAGTCATGGGACAAACGAAAATCCATTTATCTGATCCCTGCCAAGTAGCGTATCTCTGACTTCAGTAGCTTCAGCATTTCCTTTGATATTCTGTAGCTCTGCTCTGTTTTGGAATCATTGTTCTGTAGATGACATAGTTTGGACCAAACTTCAACTGTTGGACTTAAGAATATTTTGGTATCCAAATTGGTTCATGGCCAATGTGATACGTGCAGTTTGTCCTGATTAGGCTGTTAAACAACTCTACCAATTGTTTCTATTAGAGCCTGTCTAATATGGAATTTTGAAGGCCGATATCTTTATTGTGGGATTTAGAAAGCGATACTCAAAATATTGGCTGATCAGGTATTGGCCAATATCCAATATATATCAGCCAGAATATAAAATAACTGATAAATGGATATACACAGGATATGAACTGTTTCTCATAATAACCAAAAATATAATTCAAGACAAAGAAACAAAACATATATATATACATATACTGTATATGACTTCTAGTTTTCTGTCCCCCTGTATGGAAAAATGATTTCTTTTTTTCCATGGCTGTATCCTCACTAATAAGGAAAGGAAACTGCAGGGGTTCAGCTTCTGATCCGTCTCTGAAGTCTCTTTTCCACCACAGTTTGTTTTATCTGGCTTTGATAAATCCTGGGGAATTAGTTAGCCTGCTGTTCTCTTTTCTCTGAAAGGCCCTGGAACATTTATTTAAATCAGCCTTTAAAAGACAAAAACAACACCAGACCTTTATTCCAGCAATAATAATTAAATTCATCCATCCATCCATCCGTCCTTGTCAGGGTCATGGTGGGGCTGGTGCCACTCTACGGCAGTCTATGGGCGAAAGATGATTTAAACCTTGGACAGGTCGCCATTCTGTTGCAGGGCCAATTCTATTAAAAAATACTTTATTAATCCCAAAGGACAATTAAATGTTGCAGTAACTAGTTTTTTTTAACCAGTAGTTAAGTAATGAGAATAATAAGGGTTAAAAAATAATAAAAACACACAAATCATTTTACCTTTTGCTCCCTTTGTCCCACAGATTAATATCAATCTGTTTTTTACTTGGTTTTATTTAATTATTTGCAGCAGATGCCCAGCTTTAGGGTTATAAAATTGATTAATTCTTTCCATTATTAAAATTAGTGGATCCTTAAGAAGTAAATATTTAAGTAATAATTTTGCATTTCATAATTCATCAACTGGCAAAAGTTTAACACATTCACATCATATCAGATATCTACAGCAAAAAAATTAATTGTTTAGTCAAAATTGTATTTGTTACTCAGTGCAAAGACACAGGAAATGGAAACATTGACTGAGTAATTCTCAGCAAATACTAACATCAAATAGAAGTTTTGAACAGTGGAGCTGATGGTGCAGGACTTGAAAAGGAATCTCCAGAAACTGCGAAGCTGTTTTTAAACATTGCTCTCTCTTCCTGCAGAGCTGCGTTTTTACTTAACTTAACTGTTTTTAACTAATATCTACATTAACTTAAATTAATGTAGACAATTTTTACTAGATCCCTAATAAACACTTTATATTGTTGATTGCCAGACTGTTGATTGCCAGTATTACTGTTTGCTTAACTAGTCTAGTCGACAAAGCTTTGCTGCTCCTAAAACACCCATGCAGATTTCAAAGTTCGACCATTACCTTAATAGACCGACAGGAAAGATCATATTTAGGAAAAGTCTGTCACTTTTAGTGATAAAATAGTTACAGAGAAATAACGATCAGACTGTCTGGCATTATGGCTGATGTTAGAGAGGAAACCCTCACTCCAGCAACCGACTTCCACTTTGGCTCTGCAACTCTGAAAGCAAATTTAATTGTAAACTGATTTTGGATTAACTAAATGCACAATAAGTTTTAAACGTCTATTTTCCTTAATTAACAGAAATCCTTAATACCTTTTTTGTGTTATTTTGGCCTTTTATAGTTGTTAAAGGGACAATGGTACACTAATGTTCTCAAGTTACTCTGGCTGTTGGTGGCACAGTGAATTGCGGAATTTTTTAAAGCCTTGTGAAAGTAAAATTGATAAAATTGATGTGTATTGAAAAGCTACTAGTGCTTCTCAAAAGCTTGGGGATTTTGAAAGGCAGTGGAAAAGGGGCCACTGGTATCTTAAAATCCAAACCTGAACCTTCTGAAAGAGCGTTCAGCTCCTTGCCCGTCTGCACTGACAGTGATGCAGACTAATAATGATGAGGTGTTCAGTGAATGCTGCTAAGTGATCAAACTATAAAGGGAATCATTCATAGCTGAATCTGGTTAAAACCACTGCAGAACTCAGCTTTTGGCTCAGAGCATAAAGTTAAAATCAGCACCTGAGGAGAAGCATCTCTTAATACAATTGGAAAGTTTCCAATACTACAATAATAATTGTAATAAAATATTGTCTTTTAGAAACTCTGCGCAGTTTGTCTTGGTATAAAACCTGTACAACTTCAGCAAATGAATGTATGCGGTGTGCATCTGCTAAACTATGAGACTGATTATAAATTAAAAGGGACAAAAAAAGCTTTTTCTGTCCAAAAAAAACACATCAGGTAATATTGAAACTATAAGAAGAGCAAGAATGGATCAGAGAACACAATAGAAAAGACATTTTCTCTGGGATATGTGGAGAAAAAGTGTTCAAAACCACAGTCTCTGTGTTTCCAACAGTGAAGCATCTGGATCCATCATGTGTTGTGTTGCTTTCTCTCCAAAGCAATGCGTTTCCTCCCAGTTCTGCCATGGAAAAAAAGAGTAGAACCAACATCTTCGAGAGCAGCGTCCTCTGACAGTCCAAACACGATGCAGTAAAGGGTCAGAAGACCAAAGTTTAATTTGAATTAATTAATTTGAATTTGTAATCATAAAAGTCCCCAAACTTGAACCCCACTAGAAATCAATCAATGGGTCTCAAAAACAGAAAAGGGAGCAGATAAATGATCAGGCCTGAAACTGCTTCACTGGAAGTAGAAATCTGAAGAATTTTGAAAAATATTTATTAAATATTTTTAAAGACTTCTAAAGCAAAATCAAATATTTACTGTTCTTTTCCTCAGTACAAACAGAATAAGAGATTTGAGTTGCTGGAGGTTAGGCGATTAGCTGTACTTAAAAAAAAAATAATACAAAAGAATCAAAGTAAATCCAAGTACAAGTGTCAGATGTCCTTAGTTTTCGGACTCTTTAGGATCAACTTTAAAGAATTCTGCAGATGATTTAAAGGAAAATCCGGTCAGCAAGGAATAATCAATCGATCATTATCTATACCTAAAACTAATATGTTGGTGGTGATTTAATGAATTTAGTGTTAATCAGTAAAAAAATGAAAATAATAATTTTCGTCGCAATCACTGAGTCTGAGACCGGCCATTTTTACCCAAATATAGTAACACCTCACTCCTTACATTTTCCAGTAGTGACGTCACGGTGCGGTAAGCCTAGCGCCATTCTCCCCGCTTTACAAGCAAAATCAATGGGAACTACTAGACACATCTGCACTTCAATTCAGTTTATTTCCATAGCGCCAATTCACAACACATGTCATCTCAAGGCACTTTACAGTTCACCAGATGATCCAGTCAGACTGATTCAAAGTTTTTTATCCAAGGAAACCAGTTGATTGCATCGACTCATTGACTTGAAGGCAATCCCTCACACTGAGCATGCTTGTAGCGACAGTGGAGAGGAAAAACTTCCTTTTAACTCGAAGAAACCTCCAGTGGAACCAGGCTCAGTGTGAGCGGCCATCTGCTGAGGCCGACTGGGGTTCAAGGAAACAGAAGCAGAGATACAGAAAGAAGCAGCTTTAAAAGGCGGCCCCGTCCAGGAAACACACAGCCAGGCAGACGAGCTCCGAGCCAGCTCCCATGTCAGAGAATGAAGAAAACACATCCAGCCAGTCACAGTCAGAGAAACAGGACTACACTAAATAACAGGCCGATCCCCAACATCTATAAACAAAGGTGTTGCAAAGGTGTCTGCAATCAACAATTATTTAAGATTTCCAGAGGACTTCACCATTGAATTTCGCGAGAACTATAGTTAAACTGACAATGCCTACGTGCATGGCAGTTGGATTTTGTAATAAATTGGGTAAAAGTAAAAAAAAAAAAAAAAAAGTTATTTCACCTTTCCGATTCATGATCCTTCATTGGTTGGTCGTTGGATTGCCAACTTGAAGAGGGAGGATTTGCCATCGAATTTCTGGCCAGAGAAAAAACATGTAATATGTAGCCAACATTTGGAAGAAGAATGTTTTCAAGATGACTTGGATAATAGCGCGTTGTGACAAACACCAGATACAGCACTGGGACTTGATCAACAGCCGATACCGCACCGTGATGTCACAAACCAGTAGGTGGCAGTAGTGTTCTGGATGCCTCCAGTAAAGCACATTCAAATGAAATTAAAAACACTTATCATTTGCTGAACAGTAGGTAATAATTTCCTATTTAAAGTACTTTCAGAAGTTTGAATTCTGAATATGAGCGGACTTCTGCTTTAAAATATTTTTTCCTGACCTGTTTCCTTATCTTCCCCACCAGACTCTCAGTCCGTTGTCTTATTGGCTTATTTTTTCCTGAAATCTTTTAGAAAACCGTTAGCAGTGTAAGTCACACTGAGTTTCTGCGGTGGTTTGGGTTTAATTTGATAATTGCTGCATCAGAATAAAGTCAGGGAGCTCAGTAATCCGTCACTGATCTGAGAAAAAAAAAATCATTTTAATGAGCATTTGATGAAACCGTACAAATCCAATCTTTATGCTATAGCTATCCAGATGATTCCAAGGCCGTACAGGTAAGTCTGCCCAAATCCTGAGTATACCATAAAGGCCAATAAATACTCTGCAGGATGTGAGACTTTTTTTTTTTTTTTACCTAAGTAGATGACAAAAACAGGAAGACCAGCAGATCTTATTCCTCATCACACCTTATGGAAGTTCTAGCTTAATTATATTTTAGGAACAAGCAGCAATAACTCACAACAAGGTCCTGCTGGGACAGAATTATGTTCTTTCGAGTAAGAAGAATTGTTTCTCTGTTCTTGCAGAGCATTTATTGGCCTTAAAATTCCAAATGGAGCTTTTATCTCTTTTTGATTTTTTATGATAAACATATGAACCCATGAAGCTTAATTTGAACCTGTATGAAATGTGTCCTCCTTCATGAAGATCACAAGTCTAACAGAAGCTCAGCAAAAAATTCATAGTGATTGAAATCGGATGCAAGTAAAAAAATAAAAATTCTACAATTATAATCCAGACCAGAGGATCAACTTTCAGACCTGAGGAAGTTTCACCTGAAGGAGATGTAGCTGTGGTTCTTGATTATTTTTCTGTCATCAAACCCTGAGGTTAGTTCTCTAAACTTCAGTTCTTGTCTGACAGGGATCTTCCTGATGTAACAGCGGAAGATTTCTCCAAAATCAATCTTGATCAGTTCAAGTGGATACACTGGGAGGTGAGAAAAGTACCAACAACCAGAACTAAACCAGTGATCCTATCAAAATGAACCTTGACCTGGCGTGAACATTTTATTTCAGCTTTATATTTGAATAAAGTAATCAATGTGTATTGAGGAGGTCCAGTCAAACAGAGCAGCTTCTTTTTCACAACATTTTCAAGAATTCTCAAAAAATAAACATAAAGAAAATGTTAACCATTGGTTGCCTGGTTCTGCTGGAGGTTTCTTCCTGTTAAAAGGGAGTTTTTCCTCTCTACTGTCGCTGCAAGCATGCTTAGTGTGAGGGATTGCATTTGAGTCAATGAGTCGATGCAATCAACTGGTTTTCCTTAGATAGAAAACTTGGAATCAATTTGACTGTATGATCTGGTTGAACTGTAAAGTGCCTTGAGACGACCTGTGTTGTTAATTGAAGCTATGGAAATAAACTGAATTGAATTGAATCATTTCTTAAGTATTGGAGGTTTACTACGGAAGAGGATTAACTGATTTAAAAATTTTATTTCAGTTTAGTGTGGGGGAAAAAGTCAGAATTCTGACTTTTTTTCTCAAAATTCTGACTTTAATCTCAAAATTCTGACTTTAATCTCAGAATTCTGACTTTAATCTCAGAATTCTGACTTTAATCTCAAAATTCTGACTTTAATCTCAGAATTCATAATTCTGAGATACTAATCCCATACTAAATTGAAATAAAATTTTAAAATCAGTAAACTTTTTTCTTTTTTTTTTTCCAATGGCCCTAATCCTCTTCCGTAGTTTACAGATATTAGGAATCATATAAGGTTTTTTTTTTTGCCAAACAGTATTTTAAACATGCAAGGTATGTTTTCTCTGAGCAGAAGGCAATTAACACAGAGACAAACAGAAAGGTGACATATACCATTGTTAAAATATAAAATGTGGAATAAACAAATGCAAGTTTTCTATGAATTACTGTATGAGAGAGAAATAGACTCAGTTTTTGTTGTTTTTTCTGATTTACTGGTCAAAACATAAATTTACGATTGTGTAATATTTCAGGGCAGGAATGCTGGCGAGCAGGTGAAGATGATCCAGCAGGTTGAGATGTTCAACGCCAAACTTCCCGAACATCAGAGGATCACCATCTCTGTGGAGATTGAGAAGACCAGAGAGCCTCTTTATGAGCTGTTCCCTTATGGAGATGTGGTACGGGTCATCTCCCCCTCACTTCAATCATAGAACCTGTCCTGGTTTTTTCTTTTTTTCTGTTGGGTGATGTTATTATCCATGTTACAAGAGATTTTATCATCGTTTTTACCAGTATTTGGAAAGAGACTTAAAGACAGTAACCAGTTATAGTTATTGGTTGCTTCTTCAAAAAGTTATCTAAGTTAGTAACTCAGTTACCGCACAATCAAAGCAACTAGTTACTATCCAAATAACTATATAGTTATGTATTTTATCTAACATGTCGAAGAATTTATCTTCACTGTTATTGCAGCTTTAAATAGAAATTGAGATTGAATTATGGAATATGAAATGTGTGTTATTATTTAATGAATTAAGTGAAAACAGTGTCTACTAAACTGCACCATTTTGGTGTGTATAGTTGGACAAGTGATTTACAATTTAATTATTGCTTTATGTTTTTTTGTTTGTGATAAAAGATCAATAAGATGTTTTAGATCTTTATATTTCCGCATTTTTACAGCATTTAACTCACCATAGAATAGATATGAAATAGATAACTGAAGCTTTTCAAGTGCTGGTGAAGATTTTACAGTCATTCAGGTCAAAGTCCTTCCAAAAAAAAAAAAACAATCCCCTGGGCTTTTTTTCCAAGTTTGAAGACGTTTCACTTCCATTTCAGGAAGCTTTTTCAATTCAAAATGTCAGGAATAGCGTTGAGTTCGAGGTTTTATACAGTAGCCCATCAACTGTATGACATTTTGAATTGAAAAAGCTTCCTGGATTGTTTTTAATTTTCCTTTTTGGAAGCTTTTTCAGCAATTTAACAAAAATAAAATATACTTTGCAATACAATTAAACTGGGGTTACAATATTCCAGACAACAAACAACAGGACTGTGTAATCCCAGTGTTTCTTGTGGGGAAAAAAAGTAAATCATGAAAGTAAAATCAGTATAACACTGAGAAACTAAAGAATGTGTTTATAAAGGCAGCAGCTGTCAGTCATTGTTGAGATGATGTGAAGAGCTTTTTTTGCTGCTTCTAACTGAAAGCTCTGTTTCCACACAGAATGAGTCGGTCACAGGAATATTTAGCCTTTCACTTCACCTTCGTCACTCTTTTCATTCTATATTCAAGGTGTGCTGAACTCCAGCCCATATTCCAGCTCCTCAGCAAATCAGTGTTAATTGTGCCTCCAATGCAGCTCCCCCCAGATACGATGTATATCTTAGCTTCCTGCTCATCCTTGCCCTTTATGCAATAAAAATCTCTTTGTGCTGCAAATAGGGATGCATGAAGTAGTTAATATTTCGTTAAAGTAATCTAGTGTTTTGTAAATCTTCGGTTTTGTAAAGCTTTTACTCCCAAAACTACTTATTTAAGTGTCAGGGGGAAATTAAAGTCCATTCTGTTAGCTTAAAACATTAACTTTTCATCAACTTCATTAATCAGGATCTTTTTTTTTTTTTTTTACTAAGGCCTCCTCACTGACTCTCTGCAGACCTTGTTGCATTGCAGTTAGACCAATTAGTAATCAGGCTCTGGTTGTTTCACAGGTGTTTGTCAGTAAAGATGTTGCTCGTCACTTTGGTTTCAACTCGCCTGATGCTGCTTTAAAAGGACTCTACCATCGAGTTAAAAAGGGGTGAGTTAATAATGTGCAGAAGAATTGGGGAAAAAATCAGTTCTGGTTCTGATCCATCTTTGTCTCAGGGCTGTCCTGATCTGTGCGTGGGCAGAAAAAGGAGCAGATGCTTTGGGTCCTGATGGTTTGCTTCTTCATTCGGATGCTTTCCCTCCTGAAACTCTGGTGGACACCCTCGGAGCTGGAGACACATTCAACGCTGGCGTCCTGTACACTCTGTCCAACGGTAAAAATCTGCTCAGTCTGGGATGTTTGTGCTGAAATGTCATCTAACCAGGTCCTGTTAGATCGATCCCCAGTAAAACTAAGAAGAAAGATTATTATCCACCATGTTTAAGAACTTTAGGTTTTCTTAGGTTGATGTAGGTATTTATTGTTCTGCTTTAAATGTTTCTGATTGCAGGAGGAAGTCTTCAAGAGGCTCTGACCTTTGGCTGCAGGGTTGCTGGCCGGAAATGTGGATTCCATGGTTATGATGGCATCAAAGAAAAGTAATGGGGAACCTTTAATAAGGCGTTTTTTTACTTTCCTCTGTTGGGAATCCAGAATTTAAACCCAACTCAATTTGATTAGCTGCTCTGAGAAACATACGTGATTCAGAAATCAGGCAGCATGGAAAAAACAATGAACTGAAATAACAAAGAACCCATCTGTATAACTGAATGTAATAACCAATCAATATTTAATCAGTTTATTCATCATAAACAGAGCTCTATAAAACAACAAATACTTTGTAAATTGTTATAAACTGGAGGACTGGATACTTTTTTATTTAATTGGAATAAAACTAAGTTTTTATTATAAACTGTGGTGGAGCAGCTCTTTTTTTGTGTGTTAAGCTTGAATATTGAACTAATTCTGATTTAATTTAATGTAAATCCCTTTATTGTTCTACAATGGAGAAATTCAGTCTCTGCATTTTACCGCAGTGGGCTGCCATTGTGTGGCGCCCTGGGAGCAGTGTGGGGTTAAGGGTTTTCCTCAGGAACCCAAAGTGCAGGCTTTGGGGATCAAACCGGGTACTTGCAACCTTCTCACAGCCCAAGCGCCCTTTAGTTCCCGCTCTTTGTAACATTTCCATGTCATCATGCGACAGACCTCTCAAATTTACTGGTGTTCATCCGAACCACACCACAGAGGGCTGCGATGCAGGACAGCATTCACAGCATGATCTGAAAAAATCTTCAGCATGGAAAGATGCTCTAATCGCCATGGTTACAGCCTCAGCTTAGAGTTCAACTTGTTTTAGATTTGAAGGGATAGTTTAGGCTTCTGTTCATGAAGTTGTGTGAAACGTTAACCATCTGTAGCTAAAATGCAACAGTGTCACTACGACAAAATAGTTCCGTTAATGAAAGGGGTGCCGTTGATCAAAGCTTTTTAAGCAAGAAAAACTATGCATGTGTTTTGTTAGACTATTTCAACAAATATCAACATCCCAGCACTATTATCATCCCGACATTTATATCAAGAACCATCAGATTTTAGGTGCTATCGCCCCGCCACGTGGGTGAGGGAAACAGTACCTGTGAACAGAAATGATAAACTTAACACAACAATTGTTAAAATTTGTTTACAAAAGTTTACTATTTGGCCATTATTACTGTTGAAAAATAAGAACTAGCCCTATATAACGTGTATATTGTTTATATAAAATTACAGCACAAACTCAGGAATGTGATTTTTAGTATTTCAACTCTAGATATTTTAATCAGCTGCTTCTAGCTTATTAAAAAAATGGATATGCATCATAGCAAATGCCCTAAAATATAAAAGATATGAGTAAAAATTCATCTACATGCAAACAATAAATGGAGGGAAAAAAATATCCACAAAAGAAACTTTGATCTACAAATGGAGGAAATAAAGTTTTTAGAATATATTTCAATCAAACAAAATCCAAGAATGTTCCTAACACTGTTAATGATATAATCGTTGATATGATGACATGATCTTTGATTTTTGATTTTTTTTACTTAAGTCTGACATTTATTAAATAGATAGATTAATAGATTAAAGAAGGACTAATATTTGTAGAGGAAAAGGGGGAATAAAACCCAAAAAAGACACAAGAGGCATCAAATAGTTGATCGTTAATCTATTCAACAACATACTTTATACCCCACAAATATTGACAGGCCAGATTTAATTAAACAAGCAAAAGGCAAGTATGAATAAGTAAATACAAATATGAACATCAAAAATATACATTTCAACTAAAATGAAAATAAAAACACAAATAAAACAAGACTGTTACAAGAGATGATCGCAATGAAAAAGGAGGAGTTTAACAACTGTGGCTTTAATATGGATTCAGAGAAAAGATCTCATCCTGCCTCACTTATCTGGATATTTTAATGTTTCTAGGAAACACCTTTTCTAAGGACCCAAGATGCTCCTCACACATATGCCCCCTTTTCAATAAAACGATCTGTTCAGGTTGTGTTTGATTAATTTTCTATTATAGTTTGGCAGCATTTTGTTTAGGAAAGAACCTGTAATTGCAAGGCAGCCCAACTGTTCAAGGTAATATGCTTTGTAGATGAAACAAGGTAGCTGCTCTCTTTATGGATGCTTTCAGAGTCAGAGTAAAAGGAGTGCCAGACAAGGCTGAGGGCAGCAATAGTAGCAGCCCCACTTTCCTACAAGTCCCCTATAATTCCTTTTTAAACACCAATCTTTGTACTAAAATATTCTTTCTGTCATGGTTTGTGGACATTACGATCTAAAGAGAAGCATCATCTCCTGGTCAGACCCTGTAATTCAGAGTAAAAAAATATGCACGCCCAGGAGAAGGCCAGTGGCAGGAAGTTGGAGCAGATTTTGCTGGTAGCTACAGGGAAGGCTGCCATTCAGCTGGCGTTTGACTGAGAAGGGCCATTTTTAATGGCTGCTACTGTAGATGAAGCACCCTCATATGGACATAAGAAAAAAAAAACTTTCACTATCAAATAGAAGTAAATGAGCTACAGTAGCAGGGTTTCTTAACCCTGGTCCTCAGGGCCAACTGTTCTACATGTTTTAGGTGTTTCCTCGCCCTCACACACCTTACCGGAATGAAAAGGTGATCAACATGCTTTTGCAGCATTTGATGGCCACTGAGGAAGTAATGCATCCATTTAAATCAGGTGTGTTTCAGTAAAGATATAAAAAACATGAGAAAGAAATCCTGAGCTAGAGCACATGAAAGTAAGTTATCAGTACGCATGCTAGAAATCTAATCCGAGCTTTCTACAGTAGTGCTGATATGTAACAGGTCCAGTGTAATCTGTGAGATTGCTGAAAAGTTTAGTAAATTGTAACATGAATGGTGACATCCCACTCCTGACAAAACAATCAGTTAAAGTCTGACGGCACATTTTCAGAGCAACTTGGAATGTTGGAACTGCTAGTAAGCAGGTACTAATAATTATCACAGATACATGTAACAGTTACAAAGTAAAAGCTATTAAAAAATGAACTGACCCACAGCAACTGTTCTGACTTGGTAATAGTGGAAAATGGAAAATAAACTTTGTTAGAAAGAGGGGCCAAGGCTAATGGACACATCTGATCTTGGGCATTAAGTGCTGCGAGATTCTTCTAACAAGTTTGCACTTTAAAGTGGCAAATAAAAATACACATTACTATAGACATCCAGGAGCGTTCTGACTCGTGCATCCAAACAAATAATCTAAAACTTTTATACAAACCATTCATTCATATCATTGCAACCATAATTTTTGTAAGCCAATCAGGCAATTAGAATACGATCTACACTCACCGGCCACTTTATTAGGTACACCTGTCCAACTGCTCGTTAACACTTAATTTCTAAGCAGCCAATCACATGGCAGCAACTCAGTGCATTTAGGCATGTAGACATGGTCAAGACAATCTCCTGCAGTTCAAACCGAGCATCAGTATGGGGAAGAACGGTGATTTGAGTGACTTTGAACGTGGCATGATTGTTGGTGCCAGAAGGGCTGGTCTGAGTATTTCAGAAACTGCTGATCTACTGGGATTTTCACGCACAACCATCTCTAGGGTTTACAGAGAATGGTCCGAAAAAGAAAAAACATCCAGTTTGCACAAGATCATCGAAATTGGACAATAGAAGATTGGAAAAACGTTGCCTGGTCTGATGAGTCTCGATTTCTGCTGCGACATTCGGATGGTAGGGTCAGAATTTGGCGTCTACAACATGAAAGCATGGATCCATCCTGCCTTGTATCAACGGTTCAGGCTGGTGGTGGTGGTGTCATGGTGTGGGGAATATTTTCTTGGCACTCTTTGGGCCCCTTGGTACCAATTGAGCATCGTTGCAACGCCACAGCCTACCTGAGTATTGTTGCTGACCATGTCCATCCCTTTATGACCACAATGTACCCAACTTCTGATGGCTACTTTCAGCAGGATAATGCGCCATGTCATAAAGCTGGAATCATCTCAGTCTGGTTTCTTGAACATGACAATGAGTTCACTGTACTCAAATGGCCTCCACAGTCACCAGATCTCAATCCAATAGAGCATCTTTGGGATGTGGTGGAACGGGAGATTCGCATCATGGATGTGCAGCCGACAAATCTGCGGCAACTGTGTGATGCCATCATGTCAATATGGACCAAACTCCCTGAGGAATGCTTCCAGCACCTTGTTGAATCTATGCCACCAAGAATTGAGGCAATTCTGAAGGCAAAAGGGGGTCCAACCCGTTACTAGCATGGGGTACCTAATAAAGTGGCCGGTGAGTATACATCTATCATGTTTTTAAGGACATATGGATTATTCTTTTAATAATGTTTATCACAATTTATTGATAATAGGACATAAAGAGGATTATTGATATTGTTACAGTGAACATAAGCATTGAAGTTTATCCTGATAAATACTGTATGTCTATGACTGAATCCAGCACTGTCTAACATCCCTGGTATCAATTGACTGATAGACCCGAAGAGAGTAGGCCTACAGTAGATGAAAGCAATGGTGCTGTTAAAGTCAGTTTCAAGTATTAAAATTAAATAAGATCAAAACCTGATGTAGGTCTGATTTATGTCAGATCTGATTCAAATTTGATCTGGGTCAATTCCAGACCTGATTAAGCCCTGATCCAGATATGATCTCTGTCTCTGAATTCTGTCTCTATCAACTCTGTAAGTAAAGATTATGAAATTTAGAAATTCACAGTTGAAATTATCAGTACCTGCTGTCATGTGGTTCTAACCTTTCATAGTTGCACTGAAAACATCTTTCACAAATTGGGTAGTGGCCAGCATCACTAATTAGAACATATTTTAATAACCAGTCTTGTTTTTTGATTGTCATATTATATTTGACCACTAATAAATGAAGCTAGCATTAGAATTGACATGAAGGAGTCTTATCCTATCCTGTCCTCTAGACTATATTCTCTCCCGTACTTGTCCTTTGTGTTTCCTCTTGCTACCTCATCTCTCTGGTTCTTTTCTTTCACTTTGGAGTCTGACAGCTTTCACAAATGGAGTAGAAAGCTAAGATGTTGTTGTTTCCTCTCCACAATGGATGAAACCATTTTAAAGTGCTCATGCTGAAATAGATTAAGCAGTAATGGAAAAGGGGCATAAGGAAAACAGACTGATTGGGTCGTACCCACATCAGAAACTTCTTTTCTATTACATTTGGACGGCAAGCTGCACTGCAAGATGAGGCACCTAAAGATCATTTTCAAACCTCATCTCTTCAGAAGCATCAACACTTCCAATAAACATTTACATAGCCGAAGTTAAGTCTCATGTTAAATCTCTGCCTATTTCAACAAGATGGGTCAGTCTAATCCCCACCGTAATCCTGCTGCTGTCAAACATGTACTCTATCTCCCATAAACAACTTATTTAACTGTACATGTATTCATTCTTTGTGTTTTTCTGCTTATTTTTTTTTTATTGCATTGGTCACAAGTCACTACAGTTGTTGGGTTTGGCCACTTTAAATTAACCCTCTGTTTCTGGATGTTGAACAATTATAACATAAAAATTCTGATTCAGGTGTGAATTAAACTGTTTTTTAATTTAAACATACTTTTCAAGAGAGAAAACTGTGGAAAACTGGAGACACAAATGTTCAGTCCAGTCAAAAGAAAGCCTAAAGTCTATAGCAGGCTTTCCCAGATCTGATCCTCAAGGGTCGGTGTCCTGCAGCTTTTAAATGTGTCTGTGCCTCAACACACCTGAGTCAAATAATCAGGTCATCAGTAGGACTCTGGATAATTGATTATACGCTATGGAGGTAATTTAGCTATTTGATTCAGGTTTGGAAGCAGAGACACACCTAAAATGTGCAGGACACCGGAGCTCTATGGCCGGTTCTATAATCTAATTCAAGTCTTATTAATTTCTTACTTTTTTGCAACTTGTGGACTAAAAGGTTTTCTGTGGTTTAGCTCCATCCTTCAGTAATACTTAACCCCTCTGTGAGGCTGAAGGTGTAGCTACTGTAGGAAGATCTGGTGAGAAGATAAATAAAATACTTTCACCCTGGAAAGTCTTAATTGGACGATGTTACCTTGGTGAATTGAAAACATGTTTCTTAACGTTAGGAACTATTTCTTTCTGTCAGTAAAACATCCACAGCTGGTCCAAATGGATCCCCTAGTCACACTTTCCTCATTGTGTTTGTATGTAAATCATCTATGGATATGTATGAGAGCTCAGTCATTAGAAAGTTATGACCACTGACACAGTCCCTCAGTCTGGTCACCTATTTATAAACTGCATTCTGTGGTTTTAAAATCTATTTGCTGTGTTAACTTCCTTAAACCTCCTCTGATCTGGACCTCAAACTAACTGAGCTGAATATTTCACATAAAGATGCAGATAGCTCACTAAATCAGTTGAACCAGTAGAACCAGTACATTAACAGCAGCCACATTGGTTAGTTATCCTTTCAGCCCTGCGATTCCCTCCAGCAGTGGCTCAGATGTGTGTAAACGGTTAACAGGTGGTCATAAGGTTCTGGCTGCCAGCTTCATTTCTCCATGTATTTACTTAGACTGTGCTGGTAGTGTTGGTTTGCTCGGCATCACTGCTCCCTGCGATCATTTCCCTTAGCCCTTTACTGAAGTGAAGATTGGCTCCAATCACGATGAAACCCTGCAAAACAGCACATCTGTTATGATCGATACAGTGTAATGACATCTCCAATCAGCTCTTAATGCTATTTCTCTATACACCTCAGCTGGAACATTTTGCAGCACACTGTATGTATAATGACAATACATATCCTATTTTATCTAATCTTGTGGTTGCATTTCACAGTAAAGGCCAAAACACACTGGATCCAATTTTGTATGCAGTCTGACAGAAAAAGGTTTGTATAAATGTGTAACTCCCAGAATACAATAAGGCAAACTGGACTGCGCAGACCACTGGGAGTCGGTACCACTTTATCACCAACTGTTGGTCGGACCTATGCTGCAATTGATGGAAAAGTTATGAGTCAACCTATAAATACACAGGTTGGGTAATGTAATTGACGCGGCTAATGTGACGCTTACACCCAAGACACGGCTAGGTACGCTCTGCAGCTCTGGGTGTGTTCCAATTCAGGGGCTGCATCCTTTAAAAGACTCAATCTATATGGGCCAGGATGTCAAAAACCATGCAAAGCGGAAGTGAATAGCTTTGAATTGTGATGGTCGAGCCTTTTGTAGCCATTCTGCCCCCACCTCAGCGTAGCTTTTGTCACCTAGCAACAGTGACATAAGGCATAGATCTGCGCCCTCACTGATCACTTCAAGAACATACCTCTAACATGGGGAAGTCATCAAATCCCCAGTAATATATCCTATGTTCTCAACGCCTTCAAGTCTGTTTCTTGACCATCTGATTAGAAATCACACATTTTAGTGTTTTAGCTTTTCACAACTACCAAAAACTGATTGATTGATTGATTGATTTGATACTGGTTGTCATTTTCCTCTTTATTCCTTGCAAAACAGGAGCCTATATCAGTCTGAAATTATGACCTTAACCTATATTAGGTGCAACATAACGTAAATATTGATTTTAACACACATATTATGCTACTAGTGTAAATAACTGATCAAATCAGAAAGCTGTCACACATGTGGAGCACATCTGATTTAATTTCTCCTTCAGAAAGGATGTGAGGCACCATGAATACGTGTAACATAACCGATATCTAGAAAATACAAACCAAAATGGTCCAACAACAACATCAACATGAACGTGCAAATGCTTTTTTAGAAAGACTTGCATTCTGTGGCAGTGTGGCCTGTCTGGCAAACTCTCATGTGAATATTTCATCTATTAAACTACTGTAGGTGGTGTGTTGACAGAATAAGATTGGTTTGCGTCGAATAATGCAAGCCGTGTGTTTTGGCCTTGAAGGATATTTCTGTTCTATTCTAGCTGCAATATCTATAAAAAACTACTGTAAACAAACGGGAACCATCTATAAAATCAATGTGGAAACTTTCAAAGTTCTGCAAACATCAAATGTTAATGAGTAAACATTTGTAAACAAATAGTGACTGACGATAAACCAAAAACAAACATATAAACATGGAAAACAAATTTTGAACATCTGCAATCTTTAAAAGTAAACACACATTGTGATACTCCACCACCTCCTCGATAAAATCTATTCCGTCAGCCAGCGGGATCCGGACGCCCTTCTTGGTCCAATCTAAACTCAAAACCAGAAGCAATCAGAGCAATGCTACAACTAAGAGGGCCTGGGTTCAGAATAGGAGAAGGTTCTTACTGTTAATGAGAGGAACCACAGACATCTGCAGCATGGTCTTTAGAGGAGCCTGTAGAGGAATCAGCTGCAGACAGACAGACAGTCAGTGTAGCTCTGAGTCCAATAGGAAATATTTAAACCAGGAAATAAAGGTAAACACTTACAGCCAGAGACTCCAGAGCTGATTGATTGGAAAAGATTTTAAACCTGGAAGGCAATAAAGACTTTTTCTGATTAATCTAGAAACATCTCAAATAATCTGATTTCATTTCAGATTTTTCTTCTCTAAAAAAAAAAAAAAGAGTCGTTCAGCTATGGCAGTGAAAAGACTGTTTTCTTTACTGGGATAAGAACAAATTGGAATTAAGACTCAAGCATCTGTGAGCAAATTCAGTGATTGAGCGATTCTCTGTTTCGCTCTTTGTTTAGAGGGAAGATCGGATAAATCGCATGAGTTGATTTAAGGAAAACAAGCAGGAATGTGACGTTGCTTTGGTAAAATCCTCAGTGGATTTTCTATCTTTGGGTGGTACGCCCCATTAGCGGTAGGCACTAATGGTGTCTCCTTTGAAGGAAAGTGTGAAGCAGTGTTTGCTCAAGCTTGGAACTTTATCCACTGGTTCAATAATGCCTTCAAATATAACGTTCTTTGCAAAGCAGGAAGCTGTGTCAAAATGTTGGGATGACCTCGCCAATGCGTTTTATTACCTGTGGTGTGATAGCAGAGCTGCAGAGCATGTTTGGAGGTACACTTAAACCATTACATTGAGGATAGGTTCAACAATACTTTGATTATAAAGCCAGGTACTTCTTTTGAGTTTTATTTTAGAACCAAGAAAAAGTTCAGAATTGAAGCTTACAATCAAGTGTAGGTTTAAAGTTCTAGTCTAAAACCAGCTACCGATTCAGATATTTAACTGAAATCAGTGGCGGGTTCAGTGATTGTGTGAAGCTAGGTTTAGGTTAAGAGTGTAAATCCATCCAAGGAATCCACACTTGTTTCTAGAGCAGGAGGCTGTCACAAAACCTGATAGTAGAAGAAAGTGTGGGTTGAGAGTTTCAGTCCAGAACCAGTAAGGTGTTTGGGCTAAAATACAGAAAAGGATTGTGTTTCAACCTTTAAAAGGAAACCTTTACCTGCGTAGATCAGCGTGGACAGCCAAACGTTTTCCTCTCATAGAAACTTTGGCGTTGAATTTTGTTTCCTGTAGGAAAAGAAAATAGTTGGCTTATACTAGCAGCAGATAATTTCCATTTCAAACCATATAACTGGTAGTTATACTGTGTAGAAACCAGTCAGAAAAATTAGTGAGGGTGTAGTTCTCTGTGTTCGGTACCATGGTCATACTGCTGAGCTGGACTGGAGGTTGACCCGGAGGCAGAACCATAACCTTGACGATGGCTGTCATAAAAACAGTTGCTCCAGATGTTTTGATGGTGGTTTTTGGGGGGGAGTTGACAGCAAGCTGCAGGGACAGCGGTGCATCCACCAGAGCTGGGTTCTGACAGAGCAACATCAACAACATTGTAAACAACAAGGTACGACAGATTGTTGGGTCTCTGCCAACTGTCCTGGTTTAGCTTATTAATTCTGCTTACCAACATCATGATTGATCCGAAATATGTCGTCCTTAACAAAACCTCTAGATCTTTCGGCATCTGAAGGAAATTTGAGTAAGAATAAAATCAAAGAGAAGTTCAGTCTCAATACCAGGAATTGATTAATTGACACTGGTTATTTACTGTATAAAAATTATTGAATGGAAATGTTGCTGAGATACATGTCTTTACTGTAATCCAGGTATTGGGACAGATTACCACTTTCTTTAAGGAGCATGTAGTGCTGCTTCTGTATTTCAAGTCTAACTACATTATATTTGTTCACACTTGTAGAAAAAATAGACTTGAAATAAACCTAAAATGTTCAGAGAAGAAAGACAAGTCTTTTTACATTTTAATCTTTCAAACAGCCATATTTGTTCAGTGTTCTAGCTATGGTGTCATTAATTGCAACCTGAAATTAACAGGATAATCCATTTAGAATGACCAACTCTTCTCAGACATCAGTGCTAAGGTCTTCCACCTTTACAATAAAACAACAAACTATGTTATTTAAAAATACAGCAAACTACCTATTACCTATATGGTGGTACTAACATTGATCAGATGGTTGGAATCAAGCTCAGACATGGGGACCATATGAGCTTGATTACCTTTTCAAATTAACCATTGTTAATGTCTGAGTAAAGGATATTAAAATCAGAATCAGAAATACTTTAATAATCCCAGAGGGAAATTACTTTTGTTACACGCTCCAGTTACAGTTATATATATATACACACACACATCCAAAAAGCTGATGTTTAACAGTAAGATGTTGGTTCCGTTACACCCCTGGTGCACAAAGGAATGCTACCGCAGATCCTTCTTCCAAGACTGTGAACTTTATTGTTTACTGCTCCCAACTGCTCAGAAAATGTTTTCTACATCCATGCTCTGCTTTTGGTTGTCAGGTAGATCTACCTATCCATCTATCTATCTATATCTTGATATTATCTTGATATACTGTATATACCTGGATATACTGTATATATATTGCTTATTCTTAATGCACCTTTCCTCCATGTTTGCACCTTCTGTAACTTCTATGCCAATATGTGACAAGTGAATTTCTCCGCTGTGAGATCAATAAAGCTCATCTAATCTAATCTAATATATATATTGTGAGACAATGTAGGGTAATTAAATTTCTTTTCATTTGTATTCCATGGTGTTCTACTCTATTTCATAAATTATATTACTCAGGATTTGATGAAGCCTTAACTTAGAGAATAAATGGATTTAAATATATCCTCTGGCTCTATAGACTATATTTCAATCCTAGTTTAATGCCATAAATGGAGTCCACCTGAATTTTCTAGAGCAATAACCCTGGTTCTATTTACCTTTTCGTTGACGATGTGCATTTGGAAAATTCCAGCGCTGTAGTAAGCGAACATCCCACTGTCGAAGAAGAATTCAGACAGCGCTAGATACACCATCCGATCATACTCCCTGATGACTGGTTCCACGGCATAGTTCACCAGCGGGAGGTTCTGATTGGACAGGTCAAAGAACATCCCCTACAGAAAACAAAAAAACAGACTGTTTACTGGCGATTGTCCAGGTCTGCTTTTATCAGAAGACTGTGGGGAGACTGACCCTGAAGTTCATGTCGAGGCTCTGTGACGTCACCACAGGATCACTGATCAGAGAATAATCGATTCCAATATACTTATCCACCTCCGTCCTCACAGGAATCGTCTCCAACATGGAGTTCACATGAACCAGAGCAGCGTGATTTAGAGAAGGGCAGATCTGTTAGGTAAAGAGATCAACTATATTTTTACTCAAGTTTGATAAGTAAACAAATACACCAGAAACCATATAACACCAAACCCCAACACTGACCCAATACAGATGGACTCTTAGAGACAAGAACCAGCCTTTAGTTCTCTTTCACTATGGGCACTGGATTCTAACAGAAAAGGCATAAGCGGAGCCATAGACGGGTCAGCACCAGTATTTGGTCAGAGTCAGGGTCAGGGTCACAATCAGACAGTGGCCCAACCTGTTGGTTGAGGTAGAAGCGCATCCCTGTAGTCAGAAATCGAGCCAGGAAATCATAAACTCTCCTGAGAACAGATTTTCCTGATTAGATCACATCACACTCTGGCAGATAGTTGATATTGATGGGTCGTTAGGGCCCTCATAGTGTCATAGGATACAGCCATCTGAACAGTAATAGGATTGAATAGAAATGGATCTACAGAGGTTCACTTCTCTCTGTGTCTTACCCAAGCGTCCCACTGAACTCTGCCCTCATTTTTTTTATTTTGGCATCACAGCTGATGTTGTTGATCTTCAGTCGTCCTTCTTCATCTCTGATCAGATTTACAGCAGTGTTGATGTTCACTCCTTCAGCAGATGCGTTAATGTTTCCTGTGTCATAGCTAGAAAAGAAAAAAAATAATAATTTTCAGCTATGGTCATGAGCTTTGGGCCATGACCAAAAAAACAAGATCTCGGATACAAAAGGCAGAAATGAGTTTT